TGTTTCACTTCACAGTTCTTAGCACTGTTGCGCCGTGCGATTCAGGTCCACCAAGACATCAAAGGCAGGCAGAAATTGTTGGGCGAAGCGCCCCTTCACATGGAGGACATGGTGACTGGGGGCTTTGAGGGTCAATTGAAGTTGCAGCGCCGTGGGCGCAGCGTGCCGATACAGATGTCTGCCAAAGTCCCGACGCCTGACGACAAGAAGTTTGAGCCCCCAACGCCTGAAGACAAGAAGTCTGAGCCCCACGTCGAAAAGGCCACGTGTTCTGAGGATTTTGTTTTGGAGGTGCAGAATGTTGCAGAGGAGGTTGGGCCCGTGATTCCAGAGAGCGAAAGCCAGTCGGAAGACAACGTGGAAGTCGAGGGGCCGAAGGACTGGGTAAGCCGTGTGGATTTGTTCAAGTTTCCCAAACTTGTTTGGCTCACATGCGTTGAGCACCCTTGCCGTTCCAGGCTTCTTCGGCAGTCCCCTGGCCTTTCTAGAGGCTAACCGGATAAAACTGCATAGGGCCAAATGATGCTAGTTTTCATGCTGCGGCCACGGGGGTGCATGTGTGTGTGTGTGTGTGTTGTGTGTGTTGTGTGTGTGTGTGTTGTGTGTGTGTTGTGTGTGTGTTGCGTGTGTGTTGTGTGTGTGTGTTGTGTGTGTTGTGTGTGTGTTGCGTGTGTGTATGTGTGTTGGGTGTGTGTTTGTTGTGTTTGTTGTGTGTGGTGTGTGTGGTGTGTGTGTGTGTTGTGTGTGTTGTGTGTGCGTTGTGTGTGTGTGTGTGTTGTGCGCGTGTGTGTGTTGTGCGTGTGTGTGTGTGTGTGTGTGTGTGTGTGTGAGTGCGTGCGTGCGTGCGTGTGTGTGTGTGTGTGTGTGCGTGTGTGTGTGCGTGTGCGGGCGTGTGCGCGCGTGCGGGCGCGTGTGGGCGTGTGTGGGCGTGTGTGGGCGTGTGTGGGCGTGTGTGGGCGTGTGTGGGCGTGTGTGCGTGTGTGTGCGTGTGTGTGTGTGTGTGTGTGCGTGTATGTGTGTGTGTATGTGTCTACGTGTGTGTGTGTGTCTGCGTGTGTGTGCGTGCGTGTGCGTGTGCGTGTGCGTGTGCGTGCGTGTGCGTGTGCGTGTGTGTGCGTGTGTGCGTTTGTGCATGTGTGCGTGTGTGTGTGTGTGTGCGTGCGTGTGTGTGTGTGTGTGCGTGTGTGTGTGTGCGTGTGTGCGCGTGTGTGTGCGTGTGTGTGTGCGTGTGTGTGCGTGTATGTGCGTGTGTGTGTGTGTGTGTGTGCGTGTGTGTGTGTGTGCGTGTGTGTGTGTGTGTGTGCGTGTGCGTGTGTGTGTGTGTGTGCATGTGCGCGTGCGTGTGCGTGTGCGTGTGCGTGTGCGTGGGCGTGTGCGTGTGCGTGTGCGGGGTGTTTGTGTGTGTCTTTGTTTGTGTGTGTTTTTGTGTGTGTGTCTTTGTGTGTGTGTCTTTGTGTGTGTGTCTTTGTGTGTGTCTTTGTGTGTGTCTTTGTGTGTGTCTTTGTGTGTGTCTTTGTGTGTGTCTTTGTGTGTGTGTGTGTTCGTCTGGGATGTTTGTCTATTTGTTTGTTTGTTTTGTGCCAGCGTGTTTGCGTTTGTGAGTGTCAGTGTTTCTACTTCTTTCAGACCTCTGCATGTCTGGGCAGACTTTGCAGACTGCACAGTGCAAGGCGCAAGAGCTTCCACAGAACCATGCCAAGTTGCACGGACCTCAAGCGCGCCAGCCTCAGGAGTTGGCGATGCTGTGCTAAAGCTACCACACATTGCGTTTAGTGCTTTCTTCCAAGCAAAAAATGCAGTACTGCCTCCACGCAAGGTACGATGTGGCAGAACTGATGACTGAACAGCACGCTGCCTCTGATCCTTCAGATGGCATGCTGCAGGCATCAGCAAAAGAGGAAATAGCGCAAGAAGCACCAGCTCCTCCGTTGATGGCGCCTCCGTTGCTGCCGCCACCGACCAAAGTGCCGGAGCCAGAAGAGCCCTCCAGCAGTCCACCCAGCAGGCCTCCAAAAGCCATTTTAGAATTGCCCGTCCCAATCTTGGAAGACGTAATGGCATCGAGTGCAGCTCAGAGTCCCGGGTTTCCAGGCTGCGTTTGATGTCTGCCTTTTTCAAATTTAGCGGTGCGCAGCGTCCACCGTAAGAACGTGCATCCTGCGTGCTGAGCAAGCAATCAATTGAGACCTCAGGCAGCGGCGGTCTCCATCGCCCCCACGAACTGTCAGGGCCAGGCTCAGGCAGGCGCTGCCTTCAACTTTGATTTTCCAACGTGCAAGCTTCGCAAGAGCATGAAGGGCCAGTTGACGAGTTGATGAGTTTGTATATGCTTGTTTTTCTGCTGAGAAGCTGTGCGTGCAGAATTGGCCCTGAACCAAGCCCGATCCCAGCCTGCTCTCTCGCTTTTTGGGCCAGCTGCAGTTTACCCACTTGTTGCCCCTAGGCCTCCGACTTAAACACGGGGTCGGGGTCGAGTGTGGCTCCGATTCGTGGCCGGGTGTGTGGCTCCCAGTGGCCTTCCGAGCCCTAAACCGTGTTGACGGTAAACCAAAACGTACACCCTAAGCCATCTCAACTCGAACTTTGAACCTTGCTGACCCCAAGCCAAAGCCTAAACCCTAAAAGGCGAAATTTCAGGTAAGCCGCACTGGACCCGGACTCTTCCAGAGGTCCATTGATTGACAGGGACAGCAGAAAATGCAAAACTAAACCGCGCTGGAACCCCCCCCCCTGCCAGGGAGGAAAAGGCGCCGCCGCTGAAAGAGCTGTACTCCATGACGGAGACGCGCGCGTGCAAACCTTCAGCGCGGCCAGTGGGCATGAGAGGATCATGAGAGGCCACGGTTTGCTGCACTGAGAGGATCATGAGAGGCCACGGTTTGCTGCACACCCGTATGTGTTGGATTTTGCGCGAAACTCGTTTGTTTGTGAGTTTGTGTGTCTGAATCTAGCAAGGTTATGTTTTGTGTCAACTACCCACCGAACACATTTTGCAATAGTTTGTGTGCAGCGCTGTTTCAGAGCTTTGGAGGGTGTGATCAGGTTGCTTTCCCAGTTAAATGAACAGTTTCAGTCGGCCAAAGGCCTGTGAGCCCGGTGTGCCAGGCCATAGGTACCAATGAAATGGTTCTATCGCGGTGTGTTGAGCGGAAGATCACTTGGCTCGCTGTTGTCAAGTGCGACAATATGGCGCTGGTCCTGAAAGGGACTGTGCCGTTGAATTCGCCACGCGCGCGAGTTCTGGTTTAGCACATCAGTTGCTCAGTGCTTTGGAAACCCTGCCACACGCTTGGAGAGATGTTGCACACTGAGCCAGTCAGGCCAGGCAGGGCTCAAAGCACGCATATTGGCCGCATATTCTCGCATGACAGCGTAGGTCAAATTTTATGGGTGCGAATTGACGCACGGCACTGGGTTTAAGCAGCCAAAGGCTCTTGAGTTCAGTGCGTCTACAGACCAAAAGTCAACAGAAACAATCAAAGAGCCAGAGAGAGGGAGAGAGAGAGAGAGAGAGAGAGAGAGAGAGAGTCGCCAGATTTAGAGTGAGTGAAGTCAAACACGGCAGAAGGCTCTTGGCCGTTACCCTGAGCAATTGGCTTGTTGCCTGCCTGGCATGCATGGCTCAGCATAATTTCCAGTTGGGCGCCGCGGACGAGCCGTAAGAAATCAATGAAGCAGTGGACACTCAAGTCGCTGAACTTTGCCGGGCGTATTTGGCGGGCTTGGGATAAGCTGTTGGGCATCGGCTTGGTTTGGCTGAGCTGGGAAGTCAGCTAGGGTGCGGAGGGTTCCCCGGTTGGAGCTGTGGAGATGGGCTTGGTGCTGGCTGTCGGACTGGGCTGTAAACTCAACTTGGCACCACGATTCCCCAAGTGCTCGTTGGTTTGAGCCTCGCCTTGCCTGTCAATGGTGCGTCGCACCTGCTCTTCAGCTGCGGCTGCGTCCAAGCTGCAGATTTGTGAGACTCATGTACTACAACGTATGTCTTTATGGCTCCACTCTTGCACAACCTTCTTTCGCTTTTCATTTCAGCAGGAATGGCCTGCAGAAACATGTTGAGCAGGCCTGGGCCGGGTTGCATTGCTATAATCTGAAGAGATTCTGCCGTGCAAGCTGCGAGTCAAATGCCAACAGTGCTTGCAAGAATCCCTGTGGCGCTGCTTGGCTGCTGCACTGCAATGGTGGAGGAGGTGTTGTGGTACCTCGCAAGAAGAGTCACTCTGATCTTCAAGTCTTGAGCAGTCTGCGGGTCTGCGACTTTCTAGGGACACAGCTGCAAGGCCTGAGCAACGCGGCGCCCAGGTGCGACGTTCAGCATGGCCATCAAGCATGAAGGGGTCCTGAGACGTGGCGAACGTGCCGGGGTGGCGCACTGGCCCACAGTGCCGCATCGACTGGCTTGCTTCATGGTCATGTTGGACAGGCATTGCCGTGTGCATAGCCGTGGCTGCCGCTGCCTGCGTCAACGTGCCGAAGCAAAGAGCTCTTGCAGGACAATTGAGCAGGCAGCGAAAGGCTTCTGAGCTCGGGTTGCTCGACTCGCTTCCATCTCGTTTGCAAAAAGGCATGGGCTTTTTGCTGCAGTCTCTATGAGTTGCGGGGGAAGGTGCTTGTCTTTGAATTCTCAAGGCCGCATTCAGTGTGAAGGTGTGAAGGGATACGGGGCAGCATCATAGTTTTTCTGTTTGCACAGAAGCTGTGAGCAGCTTGCAACGCATGGTTAAAAAGGGCCTGACAGCCCCAATCCCCAATCAAATCTGGAAACAGGTGCAGTGGCGGGTCTACAGATGCATTTTGCACGTTCATGAACAAGCGGAAGGGGGCTCGGTTGAGGACTTGCGATAGTTCCACTTTCTTGGTTCGCAAGCGTCGGCGGGTTCCATCTTCTTTTAAATGTCCAAAGGTGCAGAACTGTTGAGCCCTCTAGGGGTCTCACAGTCCGAGTTCTGAGTGCCAGTTTAAAGAGTCTGCAACTTGGATGTGCGCATGCAACAGCTGAGGTATTCGAACTCCAAGGGCACGTGCACCTCCTGCCTGCACGAGCGCCGGTCGCAGAGTTGCTTGGATGACAAGGTGCAACTTGCAATGGAAGACATGGTGCAACTTGCTGGATGGAAACCGTAGGGTTTTGGAATGCGGATGCGGGGCGGAAATGTGTCCGGCCACATTATGGCATCCGCTACAAGGAATTCGGCAACATGGGTAACTGAGAACAAGGCCCAGGCATTGGGAGGAACTCCGCTAAAACAAGTTGGGTTCAGAAATGGGGGTTCGCAACTAGTCAGCCAATGTTGTTTAGTGGTGTTTAGAACTGTGCGGATATTGCTTTGGGCTTGTTGGATTGTTCTGTGTTGGCCCAGTATTGGTTTAGTCGTGTTTTGAGCGCAATAGTATATGGATGGGCAAGGCTGGCGCCAAGGACGTTTCTTGACTGATTGCCTTAAGCGATTGAATATCAGAAGTTGGAAAGTGGGTGTTTGTGCCAAGAAATGCTGGTGCTGGTGGTGAGGACCGCTTGATCCCCCAGGTGCAAGCTGGTCCAATTGGTGACAGGTGTGGTTTACGCGTCTCCTGGGCTTGGCGCTTGGGCAAGCCCGAAAGTCGCAAGGGCCCTAAGGGGCAGGGCTGCGGGGCATGGGCCAGGCCCGAGGCAAGCATGGAATACTTGACTCTCTTCTGGTCAACTTGTTTTATTTTGTGTAGCCTTTAAGCACTTTATGAATCGCGTGCCACGCCCGTATTGTCAAAGCTGTGCTTCTATGTTGTCTATGTCAGAGGTACCGTAGAGTCGACACTGGCCGATGTGTTTTCCTAACGGCTTCAGCGCTTCAGAGCAAGGCATGGTAAAGCGAAGTCATGCGCGTTGGCATTCCTTGCGCGGAACATACCTAGCCGACATGGTTGTCCTGCCCCAGCCCCAATTCGTGCAACTTGTGACCGTTTGCAGGCTACACCTACTTTCCATCAGCTTGGGCTCTGAAGCATGCGCAGGAACATCATTCGTGCAACGCGAGCCGCGGAAGGTAGCAAAAGCGCTGTATGGCCGCTTGCTTCAGTTTTTTTTGCGGCCATTGTCACTGTGCGTGGTGTGGTGTGTGTGTGTGAGTACCTGTGCACTTGTTGATGCATTGCCATGCTGCCAGCTATTCAGATTTTGAAGCGCACGTCATGGAAGCCTGTTGCAGGCCTGAAGCAACACCGTCTCGGTCAAGCCAGGCTGTGAGCTGTCCTGCACACCTACGCTTTCCAAAATCCCGAGCCCCTACACATGCACAACAGACACAGACACACAGTCACACAGACGCACAGACACACAGACAGCATTTCGTGCAAGCGTTCCTGCGATTCAAGCGTTTGTGATATTGTTAGCTGTTGCGTCCCTTGTTGCTCCTGTGTTGATGTTGATGCTGTTTGGCATTGCTTCACTTGAAACAAATTTATTTGATGTTGAATTGTTCCCGCCCCTGACATAGCCCACGCCTTGGGGATCCTCGAAAGCTCTCGGCAAAGGAAGCAACCGCAAACATTCCAATTTGAATCGCAGGGCGCGTTTGTACCCCGGTCTTTGTTGTCCAGGAAAGACGGTGTGCTAATCCGAAGTTGCTCCCCCTCCCCAGCACACACACAGACACACCACATGCACACACAACCACACATGAGAGTCGTCCGAAAGGTCGTTGTATTCAGCTATGAAGGGGAAGACCTTTTGGTCTTAGCGTTGACCTTCGCGAAAGTTCCGCGAAGGGGGTCGCGAAAGTTAATTGTTTTTTCCCGCGAAAGTTTTTTGTGGCTTGCAAACAGGAAGCTGGAGTGATGAACCATGTGTATTTACCGGCAGTGCGCGCAGAATGCCCGCAGACTAAAGTTGGTCGGAGAATGCGTAGTCTGAGGGTCGGGGCAAGCTGAGTGCAACTTCCAGCCGGATGTTCGCGAATGTTTGGCGTAAGATCCGCGAAAGTCGACGGACCTCCCCGCCAGTTTCCGGACATGAGGCCAACGGGTCTTCTCATGCGCAGCTTGCGGCTTGTGAGCTGGAGCTGCGGAAGCGCGGTTCGCGTGCTACTTTGGAACTGAAAGGTCGCGACTTTCGAGCTGGGGCTGCGGAAGTTCACTTTGTGTACTATTGAAAAGTTCTGTCTTTCGAGGCTGAGGAAGTTTAGTCGTGTACTACTTCGTATTCATGCCGGGCTGCGGAAATTTACTTTTAGTACTACTTTCGCACTGAAGAGCTGCGACTTTCGAGCTGGGGCTGCGAAAGTGTACTTCGTGTCTACTTTTGTGATGAATGTTCTGAAAACAGCCCCGCGAAAGTTCCGCGATGGGGTCCGCGAAAGTTAATTTTTCTCGCGAAGATGGCGGTTTCCGGAACAAGGAATTTCAGACAACCGTCACACACACTCACATCACACAAGAACGCATGCGCGCAAACAGAGACGAGACAGAGACAGAGACAGACAGAGAGAGACGAACCAACAGACAAAACGACAGAGACAGACAGAGAAGGACAGAGGCAGACAGATACAGACAGAGAGAGATAGATAGACAGACACAGATGGACAGGCAGACAGAGAGACAGACAGACAGACGGAGACAGACAGACAAACAGACAGACAGACAGACAGACAGACAGACAGACAGACACACAGACAGACAGACAGACAGACAGAGACGGACAGAGACGGACAGAGACAGAGAGAGACAGACACAAACAGACACAAACAGACACAGACAGACACAGACAGACACAGACAGGCATAGACAGAGAGAGAGAGAGACAGAGTCGACAGATTCAGGGTCAGGGTCAGGGTAAGTGCCAGAGACAGACAGACACACAGACAGAGACAGACAGAGACAGAGACAGACAGACAGAGAGAGACGGACCAACAGACAGAGTCAGACAGAGACAGACAGAGAGAGATAGATAGACAGACACAGATAGTCAAGTCTATACAGTCTTGCGCCCTGCGTACCAAGTGAGTGGTTTTGCGCGGCGTCAGCGCGCAGGTGACCTGCCACTTCAGCCGGGCAGATGCCAGCGGCCTTGGAGATCAAAACGGTCGATCTGGTGACGAGAGTTGAAATGGGTTCGAACGTATTGGACGGCGCGCTGGGGTAATGTCCAATGTGGATTTGTAAACGGGAGCCCCCCCCCTCAACGATGGGGCATGGGGAATAGTATCTTGAGGTGAGTTTCCATTAGATTTAGTATTGGTAGACTTGACTTTCCATTTGATTTAGTATTGCTGGTTCCTTTTGAGATTTGGAACTTTAGTATTGCTGGAGCTTCCTTTTGAGATTTGGAACTGAGTTTCCATTTGATTTAGTATTGGTAGACTTGACTTTCCATTTGATTTAGTATTGCTGGAGCTTCCTTCTCAGATTTGGAACTGAGTTTGCATTTGATTTAGTATTGCTGGAGCTTCCTTTTCAGATTTGGAACTGAGTTTGCATTTGACTTTATTGTAAGGGCCCCTGGAATTAAGCCTTGGGCTTAAAATTTGGGGGCTTGAAGTACTACCCCCTTTGTGGGTTTGATGGTGGGCAGTTTTTAAGCAAGAGACATGTAAGAAAACTTGAGTTTGGGCAAGGTCTGCAGTTTGGTTTTTTTGGAGAGAGCATGAAGCTTCACCAGCATCACCTGGGATTGAAGTTGGCTAGGTAGTTAGCCAAGAGGTAACTGCATTTAGGAAGTTGCATTTTTCAGGGGGGGACCGTGCAGCTTATAGGGGCCCCTGGAATAAAGTCTTGGGCTCAAATTTTGGGGCTTGAGGTACTACCCCCTTTGTGGGTTTGATGGTGGGCAGGTTTTAAGCAAGAGACATGTAAGAAAACTTGAGTTTGGGCAAGGTCTGCAGTTTGGTTTTTTGGGGAAAGCATGAAGCTTTACCAGCATCACCTGGGATTGAAGTTGGCTGGGTAGTTGGCCAAGAGGTAACTGCATTTAGGAAGTTGTACTTTTCAGGGGGGGCCACGCATCAAGACTTTGTTATAGGGGCCCCTGGAATAAAGTCTTGGGCTTAAAATTTGGGGGCTTGAAGTACTACCCCCTTTGCTGGTTGAGGAAAGAAGCAGGTGCCAAGAGCAAGGTGCCAAAGATCCAAGGACCAGGGGTGGCTATCTCTCCTCTCCTTCCTGTCCTTTCTCTCTTTCTCTCTTTCTCTCTTCTTTTTTGTGACTTTTTTTTTGGGATCTTTTTTTTTCATGGGTGGGGGGGGGGGGGCAGGGGCTTGTCTTTACTCCAGGTGCATTTACTAATTGTTTTGGGCCCCGAGAAGTCTTTATTACGCGTGCATTTTTAATCCCATTTGGACATTACTTGTTGGGGTGTAGCTACTTGGTCAGGGCTGGCAAGCAGGACAAAAACAGAAGCTGGGAGGGCGATGTCAGGCGCTCACTTTCTCAGACATCGTTTTGCAGGAATACAATGCTGTTAGACCTTGCTTGATGCGCCCCCCCCTCCCCCAGAACAGTCAAAGCAGGGCCCTGAATATAGGTTTGGCAGGCTTTGAATTGCCATTGGCTAAACGTAGTGTTGATTCCCCAAATTTAGTGTTGCTAAGACTTACTCTCAGGTTCCCACAGCTTAGTGTGGTATTGTTCAAATTTGACCCACTCCAACCAAGCTTGACATTCAAGAAAGCCCCCAAACAGTCATATTAAACAGGATCACTGGTTTGCCCGATTTGCTTGGCCCATGTTTTTGCCCGGGTGTTTTTTCGCCAAACAACTTGACAGAAAAGGTGGTACTCACACAGTGGGGGGGGCTGCTTAGGCCGCGGAAGCTTGACATAATTCAGGGCACCGATGTTAGACCATGTGCGACATGTGTAGGTATATACATTCAGGTTGTGCCGATTCAGCTGGGCTTCAAGGTGGCTACTTTTGGGGGATACCTCCGTCACGGTCCCTGGGCCTAGGCGAAGCCAGGCTCCGTTAAAGGGCGTGTTGAATCCAAGGCGGATCATGAATGTGGCTCCAGCAACGTTGTGGACTCGCGTGAGGTTGTGTACCGGGCAGCGTTACTGATGCCCATGATGTTGAGGTTGAGAGGTGGACCACATAGTAAGGCGGGAGCGGCGTCCCTGACCGGGATGACAGCAGAGGAAGTGCCCCCTCACCCGAAGCACTTTCAGAACGAGGTGAACGCATCTCGCGCCAAAGCCGTTTGGCTTTCGATTTGCGCTGGCCGCAGGGTCTCAAGTTCTTTAACAATCTTTAACCTTTCCAGTATCTGCTGGACACAGCTAAAAAAAGAGCGCAGGCGCTGAATGCTTAGCGCATTACAATCGTGAGATCAGAAACTGTTTCTTTTTGGGGCAGGGTCAGGTTGCAGCACTTGAAAAACTTGGCAAGGGACGCTTGTACCTACTGAGTCAAAGCGCTTGCTGGCAGGCACTTGCTGAAAAGTTTGGCCGGGGACACATGAGTCCACTGCCTGCAAGTGCCCTTGACCAGCACGGCGAAATGCATGCCTGGCCATTCGGACTTTCAATTCATGCACATCACTTCCGCGCAAGCCGGCATGCGTATTCGTTCAAGCTCCTGCGCAGGGAACTTGCGCACAGACACGCACAAGCACAAACAAACAAACGAACAAACATACACACACACACACACACACAACACACAACACACAACACACAACACACAACACACAACACACAACACACAACACACAACACACAACACACAACACACAATACACAACACAACACACAACACACAACCCACCCACCCACTCACCCACGAACCCGAGAATCCACGCACGCGCGCACTTGCGCCTCCCGCATCGTGCATTACGCGCACGCATCGCACATCACGCATCATGCATCACGCATCACACGCGGACGTGCCACACCAAGCTCGCACGCAAAGGCGCGCACAAGAGGATGGCAAGGTCACTTCCTGGCGTCCACGCAAGCCAACATACGTGTTGTGCTTGCTAGGAAGAAGCCTTATTGCACTTTATTGTTTGAATGGGAAGATTGCCTGCATTCCATGTTATTTGGCCATGCTGCCCAGAATCGATGCTGC